ACTGAAGCGCAGCCTGTAGCGTGATCTAGCGGAGGCCGGTAATTGTGTTTCTAGTTGCATGCACGCTGGCTACTGCGGGCTCAGCAGGTCTCTAGCATTTGTCTGCAGTGCTAGCACATGCAGCACAGGGAGCTTGCCTGTGCTTGCAGTGGGGTAGCCTCGTAGCACTAGTTGAAGCTAGGTGTTGTGCAACTTTTGCCTTGCCGCCTCTTCGCCCCCAGACACGGGCCCTTGGGCCGCTGTGTCCAAGGCCCCTGCAGACCTGCAGAACGGTTAGCTCCTCTTTGGGAGCTCTAATCCCAAGCCCTTTGACACAACTGCAGCCCAGGATGGTCTTTAAATACGAGCGATGACTCGTTCTAACTATAGGTAGCCTACGGTTCTATTTTTCACACCGCAAACACTAAAAACGCCTCGTACGTTTGTCGAGGCACATGCAAGTGGCCACGAATGATGACAATTCTCTTACTATACTGTGGCGCACCAACGCTCCTATTTTAACATCACATACGTTTAAAGCAACCTCCATTCGAGGAGCATGAATGCAGACACGAATGATGGTGGTTATCGCAGCCTCAGTCTAGGCTACAGTGCTCAAATTGCGTACTGCCAAAAAGACCGATGCGATTCCGCGGGAAAGATACAACCAGACCTTCACAAAACAATTGAAGGCTCCTGCTGACTTCTTGCATCCTTTATATCCTATTCATGCAGTTGGCATCCGTGAAATCTTACTGGAGGGGAGACCGGAATGGCAAATTATGCCCTCGCCCTTCCAATGGGACTTCTCTTTGGCCTGGAGGTAAACACAACGTAGTCCCGTGTGCCCTTGCGATGCTTGCATTCCACGCCTTCTACCTGCTGCAAGTGTTTATCCTTCTTCATACACGTAAGGACGAGACGAAGGAGCCGAGATTCCCTAGAAAGCGGCTGCTAAGGTTACCAACTCTCTTCACCAGGTTTTAGGTAAAGCAGGAGAGAGCAGAGCTGCTGCATCAGCTTGGCGAGTTGCTTCTGCCGCTGGTACCTGTCTAGGCTGCATTAAAACGCGCCCCTCTACCTCGCCCGACCCACGGAAGAGTTCTGCAAGCTGCGCAAGCCCTGCAGCAGCGTGTGGATCACTTTGCCCATCGCGCCCCTCAATGGGAGAGAAGCCTGGAGCGGCTTGTGTGGGAAATCCTTCGGGTGGCCCCCATACATGGGACGAAAACGGCCAAGTGTCAATGTCCTGCGAACCTTCTGGATTTGCGATTCCTAAGGCTGAACGATANACGAAAACGGCCAAGTGTCAATGTCCTGCGAACCTTCTGGATTTGCGATTCCTAAGGCTGAACGATATTTCGCCGGTATCCAGGGAGAGGGAGGCAAAGGCTGCGATGTCGGTCGCTGCAACAGCGAGGCCGAAGAAGTCCACACAAATTTCCCTGTCCCTGGAAAGCTGCCTTCAGCTCCTCCTCTAGTCTGCAATGGCCAAGCTCCAGTACCCCCAGCAGAGGCGGGCGAACGGCTAGAAAATTTATGCAGCTGGGGACCGGACGGAGAAGGGGGCCCACGGCGATGCCTGGATGAGCTTGCTTTACGGTCAATTCCAGCTTTCGGGGAGCGAGATGCTGGTGCAGGCAAACGCGCGGTTGCAGGGGCAGGCAACAGTCCAGGTTTTACTGGTGTTGCGACCGATGCAGAATGAGGAGCGGAGGAGACTGGCGCCTGAGTAGCAGCAGCGGGCGGCCGCAACGTTAAGGCTTCAGGGGCGTAAGCAGCAGCAGAGGAAACAGCTGCTCGGAAGAAAGTGGGCGAGGGCTTTGGTAGGAGTTCAGGGGACGGAGGAGTTCGTAGAGTCTTCTCGGCAGACGTGGCATCCGATACCTTAGAGGCCCACGTGACTTGTTGTGCGCGAGTGGGTGCTGATGGGACAGCAGCAGGTTCGGGAGCAGCAGACACTGCAGAGCCTTGGAGACGCCCCGGAGCAGCAGGCCACGAGACCTGTTGAGGTGCAGTTGGCGCTTTATGGCGAAATACTGGATTGCCCTGATTGCGGGCTCGTAAAAGCCGTTGCTGACTCTGAGCTGCGGGAGCACCAACACCAGCAGTGGAGATGCTGGGGGACGCAGAACCAGGAGTTGAAACCACAGCGCCGGCACGCTTCCCTGAGTGTTGTTGTGGATGTTTCGACGACACTCCGGCACGAAGACTAAGGTCATCCTGAGGAGACACCCCATCTCTTCGCGAAGCCGCCTCGCGGACAGAGGACGAGGCCGTTTCCTGCTGTGGGTCGATCTCTTCGGCGCTAATGTACTCGCACGGTAGATATCCCAACCCTAGCGGAGTGGCCAACATGCCGTCCACGAGTTCGGGATGGCTTAGGAGGGGTCTTTGGGCTATCTCATCCATACGTGTGCGGTTAAGGAGCCCGTAGTGCCGCGGTTGCACGCCTCGCAACCACCGGCTCAAGAGTGGATCATTAAGAACATGCTCCCTGCGTGTGTACACGGTTGTCGCGATAGCCGCAATAACTGAAGAAGGTGTAGCTGCTGTGGCCGTTTGATCTTCTGCGGAAGTCGCAGCACCACCCTTAGTATGCGTAGTAGTAACTTCAACAGCTGCATCAGCAGCTCCGACGTCTCTAGAGCTTTCAAGACTCCCCCTCAACCAAAAGAGCCCGATGTTGACCTGTGTCAAGGCAATCTCCTGCAGCTGTAGCAGTTGTTCAATTCTCGACAGTCGCTGCCTGGTCGCGAGGGACGATGCAGCGGGTTCTATTTCTTGGACCCTGCCGAGGAATTTGTGAAGATGATTGATGTGCCGTTCTCGTGCCCTGCCAATTTTGTCTTTAGTTAAAGTATCGCGAAGGGTCCGTATTCGTCTGTAAATTGCATATATATCTGCGTCCATGCCACTCCTTTCTCTTCTTTCTAACAGAGAGAATAATGCTGAGGTCTCCACTAAAGACAAACACAAAAGCGTTTTAATGCACTTGAATCTCAGATCGAAGCTTAACTGCCTCACCAGAGGCTCGCTGGTCTTTACAAGTAGCGCCAATTCAACTGTATAACGACGAGCCCGCGCCAACAAATCCTGCTCATCAAGAGGTCCAGACTCATCAACCGAAGAAGCAGCAGCAGCTGCAGCAGGCCGGTCCTCCTTTGGGGCCCTGCAAGAATATCCCGGATCCCTATTTGTTGCCTCTTCTGATCCTGCCAGAAATCTCAGTGACGCTCTGCTCTTGTTGACGTTGGTCAAATACAAAGCGCAGCGGAGTACCAAGTACACTGCTGCAGCAGTAGTAACGGCTGTGAGGAATGCCACACTCAGGCTAAGACCTCCAAACCGCCCATCTCGCTTTTGTGGAAGGCGTTTTGAAGTAACAGCCGAGACAAATTCTTCACGGGGGACTTCCCAACCACCGCCGCCCGAACCCAGTAGCAGCAGCGAGGTCGGGACAACGCCCGGTTCCACTGCAGATGATATTTGCATGGCGTCCTGTGAACTTAAGAAGGCTTACATTGATCCGAAAAGATTAACACGGGAAATCGGAGGAAACCGCCGGAAACGAGAAGCCAGGCGCAAAGGGGAACAACTTCTTCGGCCGGGGTGGGGAAGGTTCACAGTGTCCACCGTAGGATAAACGGGCAGCGCATCGCCCCTGAAAAACAGCCTTCTCTGATATACCCATAAATATACGAGCTTATTTAGTCGTAGACAGCATTTGAGGTGGGGGGGGAGGGCGAAACCTTGCATTCAGGACCTGAGTGAGAATGCGATACGAGATGACCACCGGGCGATGCTAGCACGGCGGGCAGTCTGGGAAACGGTAGCGGAAGACACGCAGAAACGGCGAGAAAGGAGACTCCACATGGATATTATTGACATATTTGAGTACACATTTGACGAATTTCTCGTGGGGACAATTCGGCGAGGTCTCACAGCAAGTATTGTATCACCCCCGTGGTCCAGCGGGGACCTCGAGGTACGATTTTGGGTGAACTTCAAAAACATAACTTTCGAAACGTTGTGGTAATAATACCTCCCAAATTTCTGCTGAGTACACGAATATCAGTAAATGCAATAGGCATGCCCAATTCCTTAGGGATGCTTCTCCAAAACAAGACCAAAAGCTGAGTCTACTGAAACTCTACACCTGATGGGCTTGGCAGGCGTCAGATGACCTGAAATCCTACCACAACTCAAATCCTAGTTGACGTGAAACTGCGCTCGTGTTCAGCCATTGCAGGAATGCCGTTTTCCTGGGACAGTACCGCCCAGCGACAGTCACCTGACCCTGGGACACCAGTGTGACTCTCGACTCTAAGAAGAGATGCGGATCTGTTCCGTTCGGCTACCCGCTTTAATGGATTGCCTGTGAGTCGAGCCGCATGACGCTCAATATCGCTCACCCAAGTGTTGGTGACTACTACTGCCGCTGTCTCTAACACAACTCGTACTTACACCCCGTTGTCGTTCGCCGCACTACAATATTCACCCCTACTCAACGCGTTTGGCACCGCCAAACGTACACCGGCAGCCCAGGGCCAGGAAGGATAGGCCAGCGGTATGGCAAGGGAAACAGAAGAAGGAGAAACGGGATGACTAGGGGCTCGAAAGAGCTCCTCAGCGCGGCACAGCCGTGCACGGCGGTGAGCCCAGCTGCAATGCCGACGCCAGGGCCGAAGGCGTGCCTGGTACCCGCGGATGTGCTCCAGTGGCTTGCGCGTGGCCCGATTTCCAGGGGCTCTTCCCCAATTCACCTGGTATTGCGCATCTCGTTCCTCGCCTCTTTGGTCCAGGAGGTAAATCACCTCGTAACGGTACTTTAGATTCCCATGTTCATCGCGCCTAGGCAACAAACCCACCACCGCCTCCTCTTTGGCCATCCGGAGATCGCGAGGGCGATCAACGATCAGTTGGGACAGCTGAAAAACTTCGTGACATGCATGTGGGGCGAAGGCCCATGCGGTACGCGACCTTGCAGATACGCATCGTGACTGGAAAAGACCCACGAAACCGGGTTTGAATTTGAAGCAGGAATTCTGGGGAGGGAGGTTCTGGTTGCTAGGCCAAACTTTGTCGCATACAGCGAAGTCGATCTCCCGCCGAGAGGAGTTCGCATAAACCTTCTGGTTCCATTTGACATTGAGGAAGTGAGCTTGATCACGATCACCAAAATAATAAAAAACAATACTAGAGCAGCCACACTGCCGTGCATGAGAAACGTGGCTGCCTGCTCCTCTATGCTCCCTAGCCGTTGAGCAGCGACTACTAATCGCTTTGAGAAGGGCGGTGAACACTAGTGGGTTTCTTTCTTTCAGTATTCCTTTGTCTGCTCCTTCCCGTAGCTGCAGACCCAGAAATACCAGCCACTTTCCGATGCACGGATCCAGAATCAGCTGAAAAACAGCTCAACAGTTTGCGCCACCTGCAGTTTTCTAAAACAAGAAATCACGGAGGTCCGCCTGCTGCGTCACCAGGAAGGGGCGGAACTGAAGAAGGTTGTATCCTGGGCAATTTTCCAGTTGCACCCGCTTGGCGGGCGCGTACACGCCAAACCCAGATTTGCCTTTTCGTCGCAGAACAATGCGTGCACGCGGTACGAAATCCCAAAGCTCGCTGCTTATCTGCAGCATTTACTATTAGTTGATTGAGATCACTGACACCATGACAATATTGCAAAGCGCTCTTTTGGGCACGTCGTGCGAAAGACAATTGCAGACCAAATCCGTTGCACCACCGGGAGATGCATGAGATGCATCAAGGCGTGGGCTGAAGGAGTGCAAAAGGTGACAACAAATCAAACCGGAACAGCAATGCCTCTTCGAATTCTTGTTTCTCTTAGAGAGCACTAATACAGGAGAGTTTGAACCAAAAAGGACCCCACCACCAATATCCCCGCTTCAGATATTGCGCAGCAACCACCCGAGGTCCTTTGGCTTAGCGGTGCGTGATGAAAGGGTCAATATACCTATACTCTAAAGG